GCGCGTATGAACTTTTTTCTGGAAGACACCCGCAAAGGTTTGAAGTAACCTTAAGCTGAAAGGCCTTATAGAATAAATACGTCTTGACTGAATGCATAAAAATGTCACTGTTCCCAGCTTGCCTTACTGACAGAGGAAGGCTGTTCCACAAGACTGGGGCTGCAACTATAAACGCACAATCTCCCTTAGTCTTTTTTTGTTCTGAACCACAGCCTTGCAATGTAGAGATGATTTCTTACCCAAAATCTTCCTTTTGAGCATATGTTAAACCTATGCAAGCTTGTCTTGACATTATTTATATTCCTGTGTTGTAATTTGTACTTTACTTTAGCACTAGATTGTGACGTTGAATAAATATTTATTTATAGGTTGTAAGCACTTTGTACTGGCTAGGCTGCACCATTCAAGGCATGTCTTACTATAGAGGGCCAAAGCTAGACATCAGTAACTTTCAAAGGGAGAGTGATGGCACAATAATTGTGAAGGTATGTGACTCTATAACCAGACAAAACATCAACTGATGGAACAACATGTAATTAATATGTACTTCAAGATTATTTTTTAGCAACTCCAGCTTTCTTAAAGAGTCAGAATAGCTTGGTAACACAGTGTTGTGCGACAAAGCCAATGTTATCCCTTGTTTGATTTAACAGTGTTGATAATTTTGACTTTACTGCCTCAAAGACTATTTAGGTGTTTGATTGGCCAAACAGTGGGTAACTCATGCATAACATCAGACTGGATATAGCACATTCAGCATCTAGCTAAGTTATATATTTTCAAAATGCATGTATCAACGCAAACTCAGAGAAAAAAACACAACCAATGTAAAATTTGTCAACCACTCAAACCTGAAAATATACATAATTGTGCCTCCAACTGTAGTGCATTGTCATGCTGTGTTCTCTATTTTGTTAGTCAGGGTTGGTTCAAGTTATAACTTACACCAATTATTTATGTGACTTCTGGTAGAGTGTGTGCTGGTCTGTAAAAACACTGCATGCAGTGTACTTTCATATGAAACTGTTCATTGTACACTTCAAGGAAGTTCCAACTTTTTAGTCTGCTTTTTACTAAAACAATGGGAGAAAATGAAAGCACATTAATTATGTAAATGTATGCCAAGCAGCACTTTCACATTGCACATGTTCTATGTATAACATTGTGCATGTCATATGGCTGTCAATTTTAAACTCTGCACGAAATTATATGAATTTGCCATGTTGCATAAATATCAGCTATTTTTAAACCTTCCTGTAACTTTGTTTGACTGTGAAAGTCAGCTAACCTAACCCTAATTCTAAGTTAAGTTAATGTTTTGAAAACACAATTTCAGCTGTCTGTAATCAAAAGAGTGAAAACAGTATTTCTGGAGATATTGCTTTTCTTACGAAATATTAAGTACTGTATTGTGTTATGACTTGGTAGTGTTTCCCTGACGTTATTCACTACTTGCAGTTTCACTATCAAAATAATACAGATGACTTTTGGTCATTTCAATATCTGATTGTTTTTCATTTTCCTGTACAAATTGATGACACATTTATCTGGGATTTTTTGGAATGTTTCACTAATGTTTGCTTTTGTTATGTATCATAAAGGTCAGTGGTGTTAAACCAACATTTGCAGCATTTTTGTTCTGAGTACATACAACATGCAAATCACAAAGTGCCATTGCTGATGTTTTGCAATAGTTTTGTGATGTTAGCTGCAAGTGGAACCTTTTGTTTGCCATACATTCCTTCCTGTGTAAAGTTAATCCGCTATATTGTACCATCAATTTAGCAGGCACCTTCTATCATTCTTTTCCATTATGTTTTGGCCATGCTTTCATTGATTGATTAGAAATGATTTCTTAACAACACAAAAGGAGCAAGTTCTGAGGCAATAAAGAACATGGTTGTTGTGAGTGTGAATACATCTTGTGGTGAACATGTTCCAATATTTGTTATCTTTTCGATGTTGAATACAACAGATCTTATACCTCATCCATGAAATGTTCCACTCCAGTACTATCAGCAGTTGTAAATAGCTTTCTGTCTTCACCATTGTACTTATAACTGATCATGTGGAACAATAGTAAACAATTCTAAAGCATAATGACATAGTCAGAACAATCATGTTTCTAAATTGTTTAGGTATGAATTTGTATTGTATTCCTGTTACATACATATATACAGTGTTGTGTTTTATTGTGACTTTTCCTTCACATGGAAGTTCATTAGGCGCTGATGACTTCCTCTCAGGTTTTTTAAACAGTCATCCGTAACGGTTCTTTTCAGAACTCCATCACTCAGACGGTCACTCCAGACAGGTTACTCACACTAGATGAACTTAGATATGAAATAATTTGATATCTACAACAATTATTATTGTCAGTCTGTTTTAAATCTCTAAAGGGAAAATTGAAGCACCCCTTTAATGTTTCTCATTTGCAACTACATTTGCAACTACATTTAATTTAAACCACTATTTAATTATCCTGAAATGTAGTATTTTGCTTCACAGAAAAATATTGACGCAAGAATATTTGGGAAAAGGTCCAAAAGTCACCTACTGAAGCATTCTTCAAACACCTTTTGGGTTATTTGTTAGTGAAATCATAGGTAAATGCAAAGGGTTCCCAAGTGCCTGCAGAAAGGGAAAACCATAAATTTTTGCTGACTAGTCCCTAATACTGGACTGTCTTCAGTTGACATGTTATACTAACAGATCCATTTTTTTTTTCAGCCAACTGCAAGACCCCCTGGCAATGATTTTTCTTACAGAAGAATGGATGGTGGCCCTCACATAAATGGGGGAGTACCGCAAGAGGACTCAACACCAATGCATCTTACNTGGTCTTCACTCTCCCCTCCACGCCAGAGGCGCTATAATCACTGTGCTGTTTCACTTGACGAATACATTTATGTTATTGGAGGTAATGATCTCCGAAAGTATTGTGATCGAACTAACTAATTTCAGTCACTTCAAACAGTAGCTGGCTAATTAACAACTAACTGTTCTAATTGTATTTTTACAGGGATTTCGAAAAACAACACATTTTTGAGAACGGTGGAAAGATATGACCCTCGACAGGATAAATGGAACAACGTCTCCAGCCTTAACACACCGCGTAGTGGAGCATGCGCTGTGGTGCTGATGGGGAAAATTTTTGTGATGGGAGGAGGATCAGACGTTCGGAAAATTCTGAGTTCATGTGAGATTTATGACCCAGGTGCAGATAAATGGTCTTGTGGGAAAGGTAAATGTTATAAAATACTCCGAAAATCCCAAGGTTACAACATTGATGACATTTTATGTTGTCGTGTAAAATGGCTACCTGCAAATTGTGAGTAAATTTAGTCTGCAAGCGACTGTTGTATTCCCATTTGTAGATCAACGCTTTCTCAAAAAAATGAATATGGATTAACTTCTGATCTGATCAGCTCCATCTGAAACATTGTAGTTGTTTCTAAGTCAAGGCAACTTAATGAAGAATTTAATTCCCAAATAAGTTTTGTTCTGACGAAACGTCAGGCGGAGATGAAACCCAGTTCATCTTTTGAGTTATTTGTCGTTAAAACATAACGCTTGCTATCACGCACACGTTTGCACAAACACGCGAGCTTTGCCAAGGATATTTTTAACTTTACTTATATACAAAGGTAGCCCGCTACTGAAAGTTTATTGAAATTGCGGGCTTAATACTTCCACCAGTAAGTGGGAACATAAAGCTACCTTTGACTATGTTTCATTTCCGCAGAGATGAAGACCAAACGTGACCGCGCAGGAGCCGCAGCATTTGGCGGGAAAATCTACGTATTCGGTGGTTCGTATGGTCACGTGGCTGTGACGTCAGTGGAGTGTTATGACTGGAGAGAAGACGAGTGGTCGATCATAACAGAGTTACCATACCCCCGGTATGGGTTCCGCTGTGCAACGACATCTGTCAGTAGAGACATGATGGCAGAGGTTCCCCCCGCTAAACCGAAAAAGCCCAGTCAGGAAAATCTGATTTAGAAGGCGGACAGCAAGGTGGACTAAAAGCCATGCTGTTTTCTTGATCAAGGAGGGTGAAGCAAGGGGTAGAGAAGTTCGTGAGTTGGTAAACAGTAAGAACATTGAAGAAAGCGGAAAATTGGGAATACATTGCAACATTTTCGCATTTCTTTGTAAAAAGTCGAAGAGGCACTCTAATTTACGCTTCACATGATAACCATAATTTCAAGAACTCAAATGCGTGCCTATATAACTTTGAATTAAGAATTACAAATTTTGGTTTGATTTTCAAAAGCTGAACGAAGAATAGCCATTCTGGGCGGTGACAACCACTCGACAGTAACATTAGCTAGGATGCGAATTCAAGGATATGTATAAATAGGCACTGGACAAAGAGAAGTTGATGAAAGTACCTCAGTATTTCTACAAGAGGCTCAGTTTCCAAGTTTGCCGTTTTCTAAAACAGTCGTTGCAATATCGAATTTTTTTTAAGTAGTTGCTTTCTATGTATAGCCAGATGACGCCCATCTAAGTGTACCTGTTTATACACAAGCTAACTATATCGAAACCTTGTCAAGTTTCCGCGTGCAAAAAAACAGCTGTGTGTCGATTGTCTAATGAAAGACTGATTGCGAATCAAATAGTGGTATTATTCCGTTTAACGAAACAACTACAGTATATTAGTCGTTCTATGGTGACATCTTTCGTCGAAAGAGAGAATAGAGAAAATTGAGCGAAAAAAATGCCTGAATTCTGAAGGGCTTTATATTTAACAGGAAATAAAAAACTGAGAACAATATCGCACAATCCGGATGTGAGTCGCCTTATTTTAACCCTGAAACAATGCAATCTTTTTTGAGACTTGCTCCCAGCTGCTTTTACTTCAGTTATAACATACATGAAAAAAATTACTCGATTCTGATTGGCTGAGAGCAGTGCAGTTCAAGTGTAACACCAGTGTAAATTACACATCGTAATTCTGGATTATGATTGGCTGGAAGACAGTAAGAAATTTTCCAAGCCAATAATATCACGTAAAATGATGTCGAAAATTTTGTGCGGTAACTTTGAAAAAAGTTTTCTCGAATGAGAAAAAATGTCTTCAAGAAAGATCTTCCGGCACTTCCTCCACGCGAATTTTTTCACGAAGCGGCTCGTGCAATTTCAGCTTTTTGAAAAACTTACTCGTGCAAATTAATTCCAAATTGAACTCGAAACCGTATGATTACCTATACAAATTGGGAGGGGCGGAAAAAACCCTGGGAACGAGATTGGAACTGACTGAGTCATAGTTTCTTAGCAGGAGTCATGTGAGACATTCCTATATTACAGGGATAGCTTTTAGACCAAGTCCGGCTTATTTCTCTTGATTTCATCACAAAGCAAAGCAGTTCAGTACACACGGGAAAAGCGAAACTGAGGGTCGTGCGTGTGGGGATTGAAACGTATTCAAGTTGATTCTGCTGATTTGACACCTAGGTAGTGGCATTTGCAAATTTTGCCCATAGCCATTTTTGTGGCATGTTTATTTTCAAACCTTGCTTTTCGTCAACAACAACATAACCTTATTTGCACTCATACCTAAAATAAAGTGTGCAAAAATAAGTTTAAAAAAACAGAAAACAAAACGAGTACAGGACTGCCCGAAACAACCTTGTATAAAAGCTTAGCAAAACTTTGATTCTCCATACCACTTAATAAAACTGTACTAATTATTCACCTTTTTCAAAAGAGTGTCCTCGATCACACGGCCCTGTGTTTTTGTAACGACAAAATAAATCGTTTATAAAGTATACAATTTTCATTTGGGTCATCTGGAGTGATAAATAATTCCACGACAGTCAGTTCGCACGCGCTAGCCAGTGCTAAAAATAGTTCCCTCTGCATAAATGAGAGTATACGGGGAAAGGATGTAAGATTCTAAAATTCAATTTGTGGTTGAACTGATATCAAACAACTTGATATTAGCCTTCAGACTGAAATGAAATACATTTTTAGAAATGACATAGAACAGTCTCTTGTCTCCCTTTCTTCCGGCTTACCATGAATAAAACCTTTTTAAAAATTTAGGGGAGAAAGGTCACGTTTTCAGCATGAACTATGGCATTTTGATAGCCTGGTTTAATACCACATTTCATAAAAGCTCACACAAAATGTTTTTCAACCCCAGTTACAATTTCTGTGGTGTGTTCTTGGTGATATGGCGACGCAAATGAGGTTTTCAACGCCATCATGGGCTAACTGTGCAAACTAAGATTACTTGAAACCATAATAGTGCCCACAAAATTAAAATTCGTAAAGACAGTAATCAGTGTATGAAAGTAAACTTGAAACCCTAGTAAAAACGTACACAATCTATGCCAAAAATATAACTGAGGTTGTTGAATGAATTTGACCTCACACAAAGATAGAGATTTTGAATTAATAGCAACGCAAACAGCGTTTTATTTGGACAAGTTTTTCTGCGCCAAAGTTATGCATGTAAACAGTTTGTACTTTCCTCCTTGTCGCTCGACCAATCAGCTTTCGTCTTGTAAATTCCTCAATGGCTGCCATAGTCGGCTGCTGATACGGAGTGAATGCGAAGTATTTGATCTATGTCAGAGTTCCATCGACAGCACAAGAGATTACGAATGTTGTAAGGAAATGTCAAAGAGTCGACAATGTTTTGAATTGCCATAGGGCTCAGAGCTCTCGCTTTTTTCGTAGAGAAAAGGGTCGTCTCTTATGAGAATATGTGACCCGTGTCGGAAATCGGCGACATGGTTCACAAAAATAAAGCTTATGGAACTGATGGTGGAGTCGACGAAGAGGGTTTCGATTCTTCGTTGAAATCAGATACGGCCCAGCAGATCATTCAACAATGGATTGAGGTATGATCATCAGACATTAAGTGTCAGTTTTCAACAACCCTGTGAACTGTGTCGTTTCTGTTTGTGGCATAGTCGTGGACAGCCGCCTAAACGGCAGGCATTAATTCACTTTGATATCTTTAATTTTATCCAGGAGGCTACCGGACAGTCGTTTAGTTCATCACGATTCATAGAATCTCTGCAAGACGGCGTTCTGTTGTGCTAGTAAGTAGGGTAAAAGAATGCCTTGGTTTACGGATTAGTCATCGCTGTACATACCACTCGCCTCACAAGCTTATATTTGTTCTCGATCTGCAGTCTTGTGAAGCGAATACAACCAGATTCAGAGATAATTCAAGATGTCATCGAAAATCCAAGCCCTCAGGAATCTCAGGTATTGAAAAACACCGCTATTTTTGTTAGCTAAGCTTTGTTTCCCAACGAAGATGCATTTCGAACCCCTATCGTTCTTTTCATATCGTTGAAGGTGGTTACAAATGTGGTTGTTAGCATTTTGTAGTGCCTCGCCGTTGTGGTGGAGCGGTTGATGTGTAATCAATGTCTGCAGTGGAAAGATATGCGGTTGAAATAGAATTCGAGGTTCACAGTTGTTTCTTCGAGCCATGCCTCAAGTTGTGTACATACGTGACCAGCCCTACGGTCGAATACACGTCATTAAGATAGGAACGAGTTTACGCACAGTTAGCGTTCATTTTAGTCAACAAAATTTAATTCCTTGTTGTAATTAAGATCGCATATTTGTCTACTGCGAAATTTTTCGACATTTCAAGTTGTAGACAAGGTCATTTGCCACGCTTAATGGTGTGAAATTCGGTCGTTGCAACCGGAAACTAGTTGATATCATCCTGAAGCGCCATTGTACGTTTTGTCATCATACGAAAAATGCCAGTAAGAAACGCAATCGTTTCGAAGTTATGCTTAGTTCCAAGGTGAATCTAAAAGGTCAGCCACTTGTTCGTTTATGTTGATTCTTAAGATTTCATTTGCTAGATCCTAAATATACGTGGAATATATTTTTGCAATGTGTAAGGTTTCGTATTCGTGAAGAATCACACAATTCAACTCTTGGGCATATACGCTTAATTTGCATTTGTTGACAGAAATCCAATGCCTCGAAACGATGATTTTATTTAAGCTTAATTAACCTATGTTTTAGTTAAGTTTCAAAGCTACAGGGGCTCAAAGGCACAATACGGTAGCTTACGAAACCTTTATTATTGCCACGATCGATTATTCCTCAGAAATTGACATGTTTCTCGGTTTCTGTTGCTGGCGTACCATGGCCGCTTTGTATGCATGGAGTGTAATGAGAAAAATTTTCGTGACCGGCTGCTACTTTAATCGCTTTAAATCCGAAAATATGTGGTTGTCGCCAGTTTTTGGTCAGCTGAGTGCATATTTCAGACATCAATGTTGGAGATGCTTTATCATTCAATCAGATAATAATTTTATACTTCGATTATTTTATCCATTTCTCTCAGCAAAACAACGTATCATATCTGTTAAAACCTTGTTTATGGCCTAATACTCTCACTCCACGTTACTATAATAAGCTAATTTTGTTGAACTGTGAATCTTTACAATATTTTAGTAGTTTTTCTTTTTTTTTTATTGCCNATCCTTTAAGTGGTATCTGCAGTGGTTTGGCCAGTTCAGACATTATGATAATGCAAATATGTTGACAATACACAGTAATTTATATCAGTTACACACTCCAAAACCATGTGAGGTCTGTCCTAAGAGATTACAGGAGATCATTGAGCCCCAGTTTACCCAGATTGAAAAGCTTTCTCTAATCCAAGAAAGTTCATAATTAAGAAGAACTAATTGAATTAAGATAAACAGATTATCTTTATACAGGAAGTTAGTTTATATTGTCATCATTGTACTTGTCTATTATTTAAAACCCACCTTTGACACATGCTCACTGCAGTCTAGTGACTTACAATAACTTCAAAGTGATGGCGAGTTACATGTACATACAGTAATTTGAGGTATAGAGCTTCAGTGCCTTAGCTTAAGTTTATTAACTTAAACTTTGAATTTTATGAAAAGGACGGATCAGATGAGAATGTGAACTATTGTGAAATCACATTTCATTTGACCATGTACTGATGAAAGATGATGAGGTTTAACAGAAGCATATCACCTTGACTAGGTGATATGCTTCTGTTAAAAACTGTAAAACTGTCCTTTTTTTATTCAGTTAACTCTGACTTGTCATTGTGTTGGACTTAAAGTCATTAATTCCCAAAACTGATTGATATCATTCTAACTTTCCTCTGCTAATTAAATCTCCAGTGAGTGATAAGATTGAGGGATCTGGTTACCTATGGAAAATGTTTCACCTGAATACAAAATTATGACCACACATCATGTCAAGGAAAATGTCTAAAATGAAACACAGAAAGGAGAGTTTTGATACATCTTTACACTGTAAACTTTACATTGAAATCCTGTTCAGTTAAAGTGCATTACGTCCTTTTTTTTTTTTTGCAAAATTGGGGCAACATTAATTTTTATTAATGATATTATAAATGGGCAGAGTTCCTGTTTAAGAGTGGAACATGATAGAAAATGAATTCTGTCCGATTAGTTTGCCTATGAATTTAGTCATCGTGTTTTGTTTTGTTTCTAGATAAACTTGAAAAAGTTTTTGAGTGTTTGTGCTGATCTTGGTCTCAGCGCCTGGCAGCTTTTTGATCCACAAGATTTAGAAGCAGGAGATAATGTGATGTGAGTACTATTGATTTATTAATATTAACTGAGTGAAGTTTGAAAATTATATATCTAGTAGATAGGTTTTTGTACATAAAATTATGTGGCATAATGATATTGGTTTAAATCTGGCGTTATGAGCATTAGCCTTCCATCAGTGTACAGTGGGAGATTGTAGGCTGTATACAGTGTTTATATCTTGGAGTGAGGGAGTTACATCGAACCACTTTAGGCTAGCACTTTATATGTGGTGCTATCCTCTTAATTTTTCCTACAATCTGGATTGTAATTGTCTATAGTGGTACCTCTCCTGACAATCGCACTGCTATTTANAAATAATTTGATATCTACAACAATTATTATTGTCAGTCTGTTTTAAATCTCTAAAGGGAAAATTGAAGCACCCCTTTAATGTTTCTCATTTGCAACTACATTTGCAACTACATTTAATTTAAACCACTATTTAATTATCCTGAAATGTAGTATTTTGCTTCACAGAAAAATATTGACGCAAGAATATTTGGGAAAAGGTCCAAAAGTCACCTACTGAAGCATTCTTCAAACACCTTTTGGGTTATTTGTTAGTGAAATCATAGGTAAATGCAAAGGGTTCCCAAGTGCCTGCAGAAAGGGAAAACCATAAATTTTTGCTGACTAGTCCCTAATACTGGACTGTCTTCAGTTGACATGTTATACTAACAGATCCATTTTTTTTTTCAGCCAACTGCAAGACCCCCTGGCAATGATTTTTCTTACAGAAGAATGGATGGTGGCCCTCACATAAATGGGGGAGTACCGCAAGAGGACTCAACACCAATGCATCTTACAAATGGCTATGCTGACAACATGCTGACCAATGTATGTCCTGCTATAACTATATAATAAATTTCTGTAATGCATGTAAATATTTTTCAGCTGCGCTTGTTAATTCGCTGTGTTTTGATTTGAATTTCTCTTACTAATTGTGCATTTGTTTGAGCTGGACTTGTGTTTTGTTTGCCATAACAATGCACTACAAGAGAAATATTGGTTATGAATGACAAAGGCAAACATGTTAAAGAAAATGCGTGTACAAACACTGTACCTAACACCTCGGTGAAAATGCACGGGCCATTTCCTTCGCAATCAGGGTTTGTTAAAAAGGCATAGTGTGCAATGTTTGTTTATTTCTGAGTGGTACTGTAGCTTGGCCTGGTAAAAGAAAACAGCCTGCATCTCTTGTCACATCCATCTTCAAAGACATGGAATGGGCGTGCAGTGAGTGTCAGCTGTGTTCTCTGGTTGTGCATAGCAGCCAAAAATGTTTCACTTTCATAAGATGGATTCAGTTTGGAATGAGGAAAGCTTTGTCTGTTCAGACATTTAATAAAAGATCTGATCACATCCAGTATACTGCTATACAGGACATATCATGAACAATGAGGAGCATTTAAATTTATAAACTTTTTGCATGATTCTGTGTCAAGAGACAAGGGCATTTTCCATTAAAACAAAATTTTTGGAACTTTAGGGAAAACGGTACAGAAATTTCCTTGAAAAGTTTCTGGAAGATCTATAAATTGTTAAATTTTGAACTGGGAACCATTCAACCAAAAATTCCTGCAATATTGGCTGGAAAATCAAGTGCAACAGAAATTCACCATAAGAAATTTTCAAGAATTTGGGTGTACTTGTGTGGTTGATCTCTTTTACAGAAATTTCAGAAAGTTCTATTTACACTGAAAATTTCCACAAATTTAAACCTGAGGGTTTATAATCAGATAGAAAGCACCCAACTTTACAGTGCTGGACTTCAAAGAGAAGGGTAGCCTGGGTTTAAGCCCAGACGCTATTCTAAAAGTGCCTTTCTCAACCAAGAAGGTGAGAAAATGGAGGCCCCTGGAACTGTTAGCCACAGGGGACCTGAACCAAGACTGCAGTAGAAACTGTGATGGAGAAACATACCATTTAGAGGAATAAGAACTCATACACAGTTCATGCCAATAAAACTGGAGATATGACCATCAGTATGGGGCAGCCAGCTGTCGTGTTGGGATCCCTTGGATTGTAACAGATCTTTTAATTAACCATCTTTATTTTTGTCTCACAGGGAGATGAAGCAGTTGAGTTTTCCGTTAATGTCAGGATACTTGGAGATGAAAAACGATTTGGTTTTTCTGTCATGGGGGGAGTGGATGAAGGATTTCCCCCACGAATTGATGAAATTTCTAAAGGTGAATTTTAATGATATGTCCATTTTGTTTAGTTGTGCTACCTACGTAGGTTGTGCCATGTTATGGTAGATTTACCTCGGTCAGTGTAACCCTGATTAAAAAGAGCAAACAAACATACATTCATGAGTAATTTAACATTGTGTTAAATTGCAATAATTTCACTGTGATGATATCAGTGATGTTATGTTTGATATCATGTTTTACCCTTTAACTGTGCTTAGATTTGTTAGTGTATGATGGAAACATCTTCGAATTTTCATGGGAAGGATTCAGCAATCTTTGGTTATCTACAAAAATCTTTGGAAATTTTTGGAAAAGTTTGGAAACATTTGTGAGATATCAAGTTGAGGACTTGAAGGGAAATGAATTTCTGTATCTGCATGTGCCCATGTACTGTATTCTATCTTGATGCTTAAATAGAGTCCTAACAACAAAATTTGTGATGTGTTGTAGACTCTCCTGCTGCCAAGACTGGCCTTCTGGTCAATGATGAAATACTGGAAGTGAATGGTGAACGTGTCACTAACCTTTCCCACACTGAAGTCATTTTGAGTATTCACAAAGTAAGTCATTTTTGTGCAACAACACAGTAAAAGAGTTATTAATAGTTACTTTGCAGACAGAAGATGCTTAATACATGTAACTTGATGAAAAGTATTTCAACAATGTAAAATGCACAAACTGTTCAAGTTCAATTGCAGTTTTTTTATAATTCTTTTTAGTTTTCATCTTCTTTTCATGCAAATGATTTCCATTGTTGTTAGCTTTTTACTGTTGTAAGTCATTGTAAGAAAAGAAAAATGGAATGTTTATCTCTTTCAGTGTTTACGAAACAGAGTTATTGCTCTTAAAGTGAGAAGAGGAAGAAAATTTTTGCAAGGTCAGTAAAATTGACTTTTAATGCTGTAAAAGAGGGGTTAATTCACTCTTGCTCATTAAATTACTTTTGAGACCTGATAGTCTTGAAATTTACCTCATTAGTTAAGCTGCAGTGCTTACCTGTGTTTGCTACTTTTTTACTCTGAAATTGATACAAAAAAAATGGTGACTGGTACATTTACACATTATTCTTAGCACATGAAACCTTTAACAATGCTCATTAAAATGTACAGAAAAGTTCTAACATCTTCTAATACCGAGCATAGACCATGTCATTAGCACAGGGACAAATGTTGCAAAAATAGGGCTGTGTCAGGTTTGCAAGGTATTGTAGTAAAATGTACAGCCGTCATCTGTTTTTTCCTATGCAGGATTATGTTGTGTAAGAATTGAAGTGAATACATTCATTAGCCCCTTACGTCCCAATTATTCCTGCCGTGTGCTCCAACAGTTGTGTTAGAGCCCCAGGTCACCATCTATAGAGACTGGGAGGGGTCCACTTAAGGCGTGATGGCAGGTGGTCACTTCTTACTTGTCTTGCAGGGCTTAACAATGGAACAGGCAACCATAATGGACTCAATGGTGACTATGCCGGACAGGTGGACACTAACACAAGAAATAAACTGCAAAAAATCATGAATGAACATGAGAATGATCCTCAGTTCCAATATTACAATTCAGATGCGGAATCTGAAGGATCACACAACAGTCACGAGTTTTACGGAAACGGCGACATTGGTGTTGTTTCTCCCACCAGCCCTGGATGGAATAAAGACATTGGAAATAAAAACTTTGGAATATCTGGGAAGAATTTAGCACGATCAAACTTGCAAAAGCACAAGTCATTGTCTACTCCACTGTTTGACTTGACAAAGTTGGATACTATTGAAGCTGATGTGGATGTCGATGATGATGATGATGATGATGATGATGATGATGATGACGATGATACTTATGCTCTTCAGAATGAAGCTTACGATACTGACAATGATGAAGAACAACCTGGTAGGTGTATCCTTGATTATGTTGATGTCAAAGCATAATGTCATTCCCAGGGTCTCCCTCGTCTCTTGTCTCCCTGGGGTTGGGGAGGAGGGGAGGGAATTGGAGACAAGGTGAAAGGCAATATACAGCTGGTTGTTGTGTCACAAAACACACGTTAATTGTGTTTTTCAGGGTGAATTATTTCATTTTTTTTTAGTTCTGGTTTGCATGTAAAAGCATTTTGTCACTGAGAAGATAGCTGAAGACCCATGATAAAATATTTTCTGCCCATTTTGGGTTTATTTTTTTTCTTGCTTTTTTTGCGGGTCTACTTCTAAATTTCAGGTCCTGTCATAATCTTTTAGAAATATTTTTTTGCTAATAATATGTTGTTGTTAAAGTGTTTTCAGGAGAAGCTGAGAAAGAATTGCTGTTTCCCTACATGAGTGAAGTAAAGTCAAAGCTTCGAAGTGGTTCTGAAAGGGAAGATCTCTCATTTGTCGAGAATCTATTTGAGCAGAAAGATTTTCAAGATGCCACTAAAGTAAGTGTGTAACTTTTTCACTGAACATTATCCCAAACAAACTACTGTGTAAAACAGTTGTGTGTTTAGAAAGTCTGAGCAAAATCTTAGTTTTACCCATTCATTTTACATGCATTGTTATGTACCACTTGTGGTGTATTTGACTGAAACACCCTGAGTCCATGTAGTAAGTCAAATAATGAGATGTTTCTAAACACACCATTATTGTGTCTTTAAATTACATCTCAACTCCAGTGTTCACAATGGATCTAATAGTTGCATTTTATCGTGTTGTCAATTGTAATTCTGAATCCTGGGACGAGATGAATCAAGATCCACCAATCACAAGCCATAGATGTGAACTTTTGGAACTGTGAATTTCATTTACATGCAAACTTCAGCATAGAACAAAACTTTGTTTGAGCCTTTACCCTCAGAGCGTACATATCATTGAAATGTGCAATAATGACATGGATGATGCTGATTTTTGTACATTTTATGGTTGTTTTTAGGTTTACACAAAAATGATTGAACTGGAGAGATCAGGAAGAGGACCGAGTGCTGTCAGACCTGTTGCAACAAATTCACAACATCTCTCCTCTCAGGTGATAAGTTTCATCAAAATATTTTTTCTTCCTGCTGACTGACATGCATGCTGTAAGTAAGTTAATGAGAATTTGTGACCGGGAAAACGTACCTCAACGCTTATCCGTTAAACGGCCGCTAACGGACGGATAGCTAACGGATAGTTAACGGCCTTCACAACATTCTAACGTTTTGTCCTAACGTTCTAACGGTTATCTAATTGTGCCTAACGGATNTTATATCATTTCAGTTGAGACATTCCCTTGAAGTGGCCAGAGACTCAAGGGACGCAGAAGAATTGATACAAATATTACAGTCGCCAAACTTTCAGGTATATTCATAATTTTTGCCAACAAAAACATAGATTACTTATAAAGTTCACGTTTTATTTCACTGAAGGGTCTGTGCATTTCTTTTGTATGTGGGTTTGTCGAGCAGTTTACATGTTTGTTTGTGATTTCAGGGTCTTTTGCTGGCACACGACAGACTGGCATTTAGGGAGGCGTTACCCAGTGATGAGGACGAGCAAGAGGCTGAAGCCGAAGAAACTCATGGGCCACAGGAACCTCAACAAGTCACGGACGAGTATTCGCTCGTGGAAGACGACAATGTGAAAATTGTGAGAATAGACAAAGCAACTGAGCCACTGGGAGCTACTGTCAAAAATGACAATGGCACTGTGCTGATTGGACGAATCGTCAAGGGCGGGGCCGCAGATAAGTGTGGTGAGAAAAACATTCCCTGCCCAAGGCTCCGTCCTCACTACGCCGGAGGAATTTGAAATCGCAACTTTATTTCTACTGTTAGGTCTACCGTTCACACTGATCCGTCACAAAAACGGAGCTTTTCGAAAACGCTCTTCAAACCGAAGGAATTTGAAAACGCCGGCTTTGTGTTTTAGTGTGAACGAAAAACATGTCGAAAACGGAGCTTTTCGAAAACGATGGCGTCACGATAGTCACGTGATTTCCCTAACCGAGTTTTCCTCAAACACAAATCCAAAATGACCGCTAATTGTTGCGCTTTCGAATTTCTCCGGAGTAGTGTGGACGGAAAACATTTGATGCGTTTACAGAGTGAAAACGCCGTTTTCCAATTTTGTTCGACGTAGTGTGGACGTTGTGTTACTGTAACTACAATGCGTGCTCAAACTCAGTAACATACTTCTGAACGTGACTTAAGTGAGTGGAAAAAGCTTCTCAGAGGAGAAATGACATCTTAGTAACATGGCAGAAGCTACTAAGAATTTTCCTAGCGTGACGGAAAGGTTGCAGGTCACAAGGCGTGACTTGTGACTGTTCAGTGACTTTTTCGCACCTACCCTATGGCTGTTGGTTCATATTTACTCAAAAGGATTTCTCTAAAGACATGAAATGCAAAACAAGTTCTAAAAAGGCCGGATTTTTTGTCGGAAGAAGTTATTGCGACTCGGATTTGGGGAGGAGATAACTTTCAAGGAGGAAGGAGGGGTTTAACGATAACTCGGGCCCTGTGCTGTATTGACCTTACTTCATAATGCAGCTCCCCTAGCGATTAACTGAAAGTAAATGTTGGTGAGAGATTTCGTCTTCCTCCCTGTAACCTCCTTTTGTGATCTCTCAGGTCTTCTTCAAGAAGGCGACGAAGTCCTTGAAATTAATGGAGTAAACATGCGAGGAAAAACTGTAGCGGAAGTTTGTGAGCTGCTGGCGGACATGAACGGGACGCTAACATTTGTACTCAATCCCGCCAATCGATCTCGCGTCCCGTCCGACAGAGAAGTACACGTGCGCGCGCACTTCGACTACCATCCTTACGAGGATGACTTGATACCGTGCAGAGAACTAGGACTAGCATTCAGACGAGGCGATATTCTTCATGTTGTCAAACAAGAGGATCCTAACTGGTGGCAGGTTAGTGTTGTTTGGCTTCAGGTCTCGCCAGGATTTTTCATTCAGTCATTCTTTAAGACACGTTTTTAACCAGAAAATACGTTGCCAAGGTAGATAAATCATCGTCAATACCGAGGAAGATCACGAACACCGAACTTGAAGAATAGAGTTACACACTGTAAATATTACAGATTTTGCCGATTACAGTAAATTCGATTACATACAAGTGATCTTTTTTTTTTTGGCTTGGTCCAGGAGGACCATGAGCAGCCGCGAGAGGTCGCGCGTGCTTTCCCGCCCTCGCGTGTGGCAATTTTTCTTCCGCGCTTTGTTTAGCGTCACGTTTGGGAGAGTAAGAAAATAAGCTGCTGTTCGTAGTTTATCTTTTCTCGGCTGGGAGGAAGGTATTTAGCTAGATGTAGTAAAACTCCCTTTCTTGGTTGATCTTAGTTGTTATTTCACTCTTCCCGCGGTGTTGTAGACAGGGTGAAGCTGACCGCCACGTTTTTTAATTTATGTTCAGGCGTGGAGAGCAGGCGAGGAAGGAAGAACGTTAGCTGGACTTGTTCCATCGAAACACTTCCAACAACAGTAAGTTCGAAATATCTTAATATTCAAATGAATTTTTAGTATTCAAATATTTTAGGAGGCTACACTGTTTTACGGTATATTCTTAGAGGTTCTCGGTGGATTTTTTATTTTTACAGGAAAGAATCCATGAAGAAAACTACTGGAGAAACCGAACCGACCCACAAAGAAAGTAAGGATTCCGTAGTTTTTTTTTGTTGTTGTTGTTTTTTGTGTTTTGTCAAAATCTGTCNGAACGGAGCTTTTCGAAAACGATGACGTCACGGTAATCATGTGATTTCTCTGACCGAGGTTTCCTCAAACACAAATCCAAAGTGACCGGTGATTGTTGCGTAGTGTGCATGGAAAGCATTTGATGCATTTTCAGAGTTTAAACATCGTTTTCATATTTCTCCGGCGACCTACTTTGTATTTTTCTTGTACATCAGGACCTGACAGAGTTGGTCGGAAAGAGTTGAGGCAGAAACTGATTCTCTTTTCACAAGAACGTTTCGCTGGAGTGATACCTCGTAAGTAATGTCTTTCAAGCTGATATTATGTTACACCAGAAGTTTTTCAATGATTTATTAACTTGTAGTCATGTTATTGTGACTGGCCGGTCGCTTGTTCGGGACTGAGGTGATTCATTTGTATATTTATTCATCTCTGTGTTCCTCGTTCCGTCTGCCAGTGAGGTACAATACTGGCGCTACAAATGAATGTAAAGCTAGCGTATACCTTAAGAGGTGTCTCGCGTCCGAGCGATGTAGCGCGTCCGGTTTAAACTATAGATACCAAAATCCCATATCAAATTAAAGCTTTTAGAGCTGACCATCAAACTATACCAAGAATTCTGAACTAAAATGAATTGTCGAATTTTTCTTGACCTCTAGATGTGAGCGTCTGAATCACCTTTTGAAAGCTAGAAATCAACTGGTCTGAGGCAAACCATTTGGCTATTTAAAAGTGCGGCCGAGGATTTGAACTCGGGGCTACCGTGAAACAACTCCACCTTAGTAGTGGTCAGAGCGGGACTCGAATCCGGGACCGCTGGATTACGAGTCCGACGCACTGACCACTCGGCCGCGCTGCCTCCAAACGGCTTGAACCCGCGACCTGCAGATTATAAGACTAACTGAAACATTCTTCCACACTGCTTCTTTCAGACACCAGCCGGCCGATGAGACCAGACGAGGTAAATGAAAGAGACTATACTTTTGTGTCGCTACCCACGTTTCAAGCAGACATTGTGGGCCATAAGTTCGTGGAACACGGGGAATTAGAGGGTCACTTTTACGGTACAGCACTGGACTCCATAAGAAAAGTGATCAACTCTGGCAAATACTGTATTTTAAATCTTCATTGCGAGGTATGATAAGTAGTAAGTAATGGTCTTAATTGAAAAAAAGAATTCAAAGCATTCGTTTCTCGAGTTTGTCACTGGCAGGAATTGTGAGAGGCGCGCTTGAAAATCGATTGGTTAAGGAACTGATCATTTTCACTAGCTATGGCCGGAAAACGTTTTCGCTGTTGGGCATTCGTCTAACGGCAAGAAATGCGATTGATGTTGTGGATTGTATTGAGTGTTATGATTCTATTTGCTTGCAGTCAGCAGCAGTGATCAAAATCTGGTGTATCAATCTCTTCATCTCGCCTCACGTGATACTATTTTTTTCTTGCTCGCGTTCCTACTTAATTTGTATCTCGAGTTTAACTGGTGATGAAGAAAATATTCATTTCCAACTGTTAGCTAGCCTGCGAGCGAGCTCTAGTGCCTGGGTTTCGCAATGAAGCACTGGTTTATGGCGCGCGAGCGAGTTTAACAATGACGCTTCGCGCGCCGGCTCGTCTCGCGTGTGTCTCGCGCGGTTTCGTCGCTCGCGGTCCAAACAGGAGAGCCTGCTCGCAGGGTAACTGTTAGCGTCCAGCACACTAAATTCCTTCCCTAGAAGAGCTTTTCTGGGAACAAAAAGAATCGACTGATAAGTACTATTGAAACTAACAATACATGAAGCGAGCTGAATCAGTGGCCGTCCGAGATCGATAGCTACATTTCTCTTTATAATGGTTAATACTTTATCAAGAAATAATATCAAAAGAAACCATGTTGATATTTTGAGCTCGCGAATGGTACATATGTACGCTGAAAATGTTAATAGTTTTATGAGCTTTTTTGCGTTTGTTATTTTTCAGGCGCTGAAAATCCTTAAAGCTTCTGATGTGAAACCTTACGTGGTTTTTATTTCGCCTCCATCTTACGATAGAATTTTAACCCTTAGAAGAGGAAAAGTGGATCCATTTAATCCGCAACCTAATGCACAAATGTCTGTAAGTGTTCTTGACCCGCCATGTAACTAGCGCTAAATCACAATAAAAACGCTACTTTTTCACTTATGTGCGCTGTCCCGAATGTAGCTTAAGTGCAGTGTATCAGGTCTCATAAGCTTGTAATTCTTTTGTTTGTTAGCAGCTGTTATTGTTCTAGGGCTAGGGTACATTGTTTCTGTTGTTTGTTCTATTGTCCTCTCAAAGGGTTTCCAGCCATTCATGTGAGAACTTACGAGAGCTGCTACCGGACCCCTTAGGTCACGGATTCACTAACTGTAGTTTCGAGATACGTACTTTCACATTCCATGACATCCCTCGGTGGGAATTTTGGTCAATAACTGCAAACTTATCAACTTTAGAGTACTGTTCCAAGCTTAAACAAGTACATTGCAGAGCTGAACGGCGGCGTTTTCTTGACTTTCAGGACGCAGAGTTACGCGAAATGGTGGACAAAGCGAGAGAAGTGGAAGAAACTTACGGACATTACTTCGATAAAACAATTGTGAATACAGATTTGGAAAGAACTTTTGACGAGTTGAGATCAGCCATCGATAAACTTGATACCGAGGCTCAGTGGGTACCAGCCTTCTGGGTAAATGAAGGCCGTGGCGCCTTGTAGAGAAAGTCGAGACCTGGACATCACCAATAGGATTATTATCTCTCTATTCTGGAAGAGGGCCTATAATATAGGACTGCAGAAAGAAGCGAGTTTTTTTTTTTAATTCACACAGAAAATCAGCAGAAGGTATTTTTTCAAGAAGGAAGGTTCGAGGTAAGAGAGCTGAGGACTTGGAATGGGCTAAAATTAAACCATTCATTTATGAATATCAGTTACCTACAAAATAATTTTTTAGTTGTACAAGCTGTTTATTAAGAGAAAATGTAACCGAATATGAACAGTATTAGGGCTGAGTAAGGGTTCTATTTTGAACAAGCAGTTTAATTCCTTTATAGATCTTATATCGAACTAGAGTGAGGTCCGTATTGGCAAAATATTGGTTGAATTCTATTTTTGTTATCGAGCGAGGCCCAGGAACCCGTAACTTTCGTACGAGAAGAAGGCCAATATTTTCCTAATGCAGGCCAAAAAGACCAGTTTTGTAAACTTTATAACTGTTCTTTCTAATTTACAAGTCACCTTTGCCGACTATTCCCGGCAAACATGGGCGAAATAGTTATTAAGCGCACGAGATTATTTTTCTTAGCCACTGTCCTCCTACGTTTACACTGCAATATGTTACCAAGGCAAATCGGCAAAAATTAATCCATTAGTTTTCCCGCTTGGCGGTCAGTATTACGACATATCGGACCGGTCCGGGACCAATCAGATGACTCCTTTTCGTAATGAGCCAGTTTGGCATGTGATAAAACGTTTTCAGTGACTTAATCTTTAGTCATTAAAACTGTTCATTTATCATAACTTTTTATACTCCAGTTTTTGCTTGCAAGTGAGTTCTGTACAAACAAGCAATGTTTCTTCCAAATCGAATGAACATTTTTGTTTAAATTTGGATTGTATGAAATTAGTAGTTAACTCATAGTATCCTTGTATTATTTTTGTTTTCAAATGGCGCTCACCCGGGCTAAGCAAAAAGCAATATAGAAAACAACTCTCGGGCGAAACAA